ACTGATCTTACTAACAATATCTAACGAAACAAGTTTAGACAGGTGTCCAATGTTTGACTGATCTTAATAACAATATCTAACGAAACAAGTTTAGACGGCTGTCCAATGTTTGACTGATCTTAATAACAATATCTAACGAAACAAGTTTAGACGGCTGTCCAATGTTTGACTGATCTTACTAACAATATCTAACGAAAATGTTTAGACAGGTGTCCAATGTTTGACTGATCTTAATAACAATATCTGACGAAACAAGTTTAGACGGCTGTCCAATGTTTGACTGATCTTAATAACAATATCTAACGAAACAAGTTTAGACGGCTGTCCAATGTTTGACTGATCTTACTAATTCATGTTATTGTAATTTTGCATATTTTATAAGGACAAAGATGTTCGAGTCGTTGTTCTCCACTGTTCTGTTGAATATGCTAAAGTCATTTTCACCCAAGCGCGTGCACAAGGGATGATGAAGAAAGGATGGGCTTGGCTTGTTACTGATGGCGTAACTTTCACGGTAAGTGTTATAATGCTGGTAAATGAATTTTTCCAAACAAACTCCAACAAGTGTTTATTTTCAACACTTACGTTTTAAAAGTTCACGCTTCTGTATCAGTGATGTTAATTCTACATCTTTAACTTCTTATTTCGACAGAGTTTTAAAATTCACTTACACCACTACAATATATCCAAACTCAGATGTCGAACTATTTGATTGGTTGATGAAGCAATATAATAAATGGATTTGATTGGTTGACGAAATAAAGCAATACACCGATATGGTAAAATAATACAATAATAGATAAGAATGGACTTTTCTGTGACTCATTAATTCACTTTCCATGTTCAGGGAGGTAAGGCTCTCTTTGGTCCAGATGGAAGAGTTCCAGATTATATGGTTGGAGTGATTGGCACTCAGCCGCCATTAAGAAACATCACAGCTTTGAGACAGATGAAGCAAAAACTGGAAATGAAGCTAGGCCTGACGGTGGACGACATGGAGTTGGTACGTACTGGATTTTCTACTGGGAATTTAAATAGTCGAATGATTAAAGTATTTAAATCAACTATACAGAGACTGGCACGGTACGAAACTGGTAGCGCCATCTTTAGGCCATGTAGGATAGTGGTGTGAATATTCAAATAAAATAAGTGTCATTAGATGGTATGTCAATCTAGTCTTAAAGGACAAAGTAATATCTAAGCTACCATCAGCAATATACATCTAACATACTAAAGTCTGGAACTACGTCACTTTGTTTTCTCGATAAAACTTATTCAAATCTGGTGTCACATTACTGTTTCTAGTTGATATAACTTCCGCTAGAGGACACTGAGATAAAGACAAAGAACCTAAATTCTCCATTGATTTGGGGTGAAGGATGATTGCTAATCTTCGAGCACCCCTGATTATTAATTATTTCTTCAGAAATAATTAAATTCAAATAAAAATAACTGCCAGAAATAAATAATAAACAATCTCCATTGATTTCACAAACTAAAAAAGTAAAACAAACCAAAAAAAACTTTTCGCTCTTGTTCCCATGTTTTCGATTTTCTCTACATAGCCCGCCGCCGTCCGTGTTTACGACTCTGTTCTCTCAGCAGCCCATGGTCTTCACTCTTTGCTTGCCCACCAGAATTTTAGTGCTCCTTCATTCTTACCGGGCACGTGCTCTAAGGCTTCCCTGAACTCCTGGGAAGACGGCGAAAAGCTTTTTCGTTCCATTCTCGAAATCAAAAACGTGAAAGGACTTCAAGGACTTCTGGAATTCAACAAGTATAGCTTTTATTCGCACATCGGCTACACACTTGTAAATCTTGAAGCCGGAGGATTTACCGAAGTAAGTTTAATAAAAAAAAACCTTTTGGAACGATATTTCTGTCATAATTTACAATCTAAGGAGGGTTGAAATGTTTTTCTCACTAACTGCAAGTCAACACCACAAAAAAAAATTTAAAAGAAAAACTGTAAGTATTTTAGCAGAGAATTAAAACATTTTAGTTCTTTTTGTTTATTTATCGTATAACGAGTAGATATCTGTTTCAGTTTGGAAGATGGACTTTGGAACACGATGAGGAGAAGTTGGAAGTGACCTCTGACCCCATGTTCCCAGGAGGCTCCTCGGCAATTCCAAATGATTCCGTTTATGACCTTACGAACAAAACTCTTCGAGTTGTTGTAATACAGGTAAGATCGTCCTTTTAGCTTATCTGTAAGTTATATAGTTGAATAGAAAAATGTTTCACATCGAAAAATAACACAACCGTTTTGTGTAAATTTGTCGCATGAATATTTCAACTTTGATAGCTACATTTAAAGAACGATCTTAATTCTAGGAGGGTTAGATAGTAAACTTGGAAATGTTGATAGGTTTCGTTTTCTATACAGAGGTGGGGTTACTAGTCAATGATGAGGTTGCTTAGGCAAAGGGGTCGTTAACAATATTGAGGTTACTAGAAAACTTTCCTACAGATAGCTATACTGAACTTAGTAATGTGAAACATTATGTCTAAGGTGAAATTATTTTTATGCATTCAATAAAAGGAACCTCCATTCGTCAAGAAGAATCCAGATTACGATCAACAAGATCCAAAAAGCCAAAAATATATTGGTTACTGCATAGATCTCCTTACGAAACTACAAGAAACGCTCAACTTTCAGTTTTCTATATTCGAGGTCACACAATATGGCCGTAAACATCCGGTTACAAAACGATGGAACGGATTAGTGAAAGAGTTGATTGAAGATGTAAGTAATGAAAATTTTAAAGGTATATTCTTTGTACCTACGTAACGCTATGAAATCTTTAATTAAATTTCCAAAAGAACCAATAAGTGGATTTATGTTTTACAACTGATGTAGGACACGTGAAAAACAAAACAATGTAATTATTATTTGTAAGTCTGAGACGACTCCGATATTTCTGTGTATTTTTGTTTGGTTTAAGAACACTTTCATTTCTCTTGACATTGACTCAATAACTTTTATACATCACTATTTCTATAATGTCTGTCTGATAAGGTCCTTTTCTGTCAGGTACAATTACTCTATAAAACTTTCACTTTATAAGTATTTTATGACTTTAATTAGAAATGGATTCATGATGGAGAAACCGAAGTTTAATATTGAAAACGAAGACGGTTGATAAAACATTTTATTTACAAGGTTCGAACGTTTCGGAATAACTTATTCCAACTTCAGCGTTCAAACCTTGCAAATAAAATGTTTTATCAACCGTCTTCATCTTCATTATGACTTTAATTATCTTTACTGAACCTAGTTCTACTAATGTTTCTAAGATGGAGTGAATTTTAAGACAATATACAGTACCGAAATATACACTATCAAGGCATTGATTTATTTACATGTAAACTGAAAAAAGGCAAAGTTCAAGTACAGAGAACAATATCTTATAAGCTGTACCATATAAACCTCATAATGTACATATTTTTGAAGAGTTTTATGATTTAAAAAAAATGTTTGAAATGTATATTTATATTTCGATTCACCCGTTTTTATATCTGTTGCGTCAGCGAGGTCACGTGACTTGTGTCACGCCCCCTGCTTTCTGGAAATATCTTGTACCTTCGTGAATTATCGGGAGATTACTAGATATAGGGTAGTCTAGTATATACTCGTATAAGAGGGTGACAACGTGACGGGACTATAATGTGTGTGTAGGTAGTGAGTAATTGAACTGCAGTCAGGAAGTATTGTTGAAGTTAACGTTCGTTAAAACGTTTCTTACAGAGCGACTGTTGAAAATAAGTGTATCGGTAAAGTTATATTCAGAAAGAATAAACCAGTTTTATTAAGTAAGGACTTGTGTCGCTAAAGTTTCGTCGGAACGAGGTTACGGAAAGTTAATTAACAAACGGAGGCGTAACATATCCTTTACAAAAATCTGATGGATATTTTTTGACAAAATTTTATTTTTTTACAGAGAGCTGATGTTGCTGTGGCCCCGTTCACCATCAGTCACGAGCGCGAGAAAGTAATAACTTTCACGAAACCATTCTTTGATCTAGGTTTAACGATTCTGCTCCCTCGCAAAATGTTTTATATTTCAAATCCTCTTTTCGCCTTTCTCTCGCCGTTTGACGCCCTCTTGTGGATGACGATTCTTGTCTCTATGATTTTAGCCTCAGTCGCTACGTGCGTTTGTCAGAACTTTACTCCTGAAAATTACCATAAGAGAGCACTGTCCGCAAAACATAAAGGTCATTGCCCTGTGTCCAAAACTAACCAAGTTGAGGGCTTTTCTTTGAGTGAAACCTTGTGGTTGGGATTTTCTTCTCTAGTAAACCAAGTAAGTGAATGTTAAATATAAACTGGACACTCGTGTTTCACAGACAAACCTTAAACATAATTATAAAACAATAAACACAGTACAACTTATATATATATATATAATAAACTGTACAATATATTTGCTATTACTTCTAAAATTGCATCTAGTTTAAACAAATAATTGAAACCACTGTTTATAAGCTAGTTTAAATATACTATTTTATATACTTAAAGTTTCATGTATGATAATATAGCCAAGCAATTAATTGATCGCTTTTAGTTAATTCATTATTTACAGGATTATTTCAATAATCAGAAACGTTTAGAACTAATTAGTCTTCAAGAATAGTTACCAAATGATTCCTGTGTATATTGATTATAATGATTCAAACTGTTTTTTACCAATTACAGACCATTGATCCAGGGTTTATTAACTTCCCAGCTCGTGTTGTGATTGGAATTTGGTGGTTCACCAATGTTGTTTTAATTTCGGCCTACACGGCAAAGTTAGCTGCTGTCTTCACCGCAGAACGTCTAGTCATTGGTAAGCCTAGTTAAGTCTTGTTAACCACAGTCTTAATCGCATAATATCTTATCACCGATTAGCCTACTTAAGGTTTTTAGTCGCTGTCTTTATTGCAGAACGTCTTATCACTGATAAGCCTAGTTACGTTTAGTTAGCTGCTGTCTTCACCGAAGAACGTCTTATCACTGATAAGATAAGCCTAGTTAAGTTTTGTTAGCCGCTGTCGTCACCGAAGAACGTCTTATCACTGGTAAGCCTAATTAAGTTTTGTTAGCTGTTGTCTTCACCGAAGCACGTCTTGTCACTGATAAGCCTAGTTGAATTTTGTTAGCCGCCGTCTTCACCGAAGAACGTCTTGTCTCTAGTAGGCTTAGTTAAATTTTGTTAATCACTGACTTCACCGCAGAACGTCTTGTCACTAGTAAGCTTAGTTAAGTTTTGTTAATCGCTGACTTCACCGCAGAACGTCTTGTCACTGGTAAGCCTAGTTAAGTTTTGTTAATCACTGTCTTCACCGCAGAACGTCTTGTCACTAGTAAGCTTAGTTAAGTTTTGTTAATCGCTGACTTCACCGCAGAACGTCTTGTCACTGGTAAGCCTAGTTAAGTTTTGTTAGCTATTGTCTTCACCACAGAACGTCTTGTCACTAGTAAGCTTAGTTAAGTTTTGTTAATCACTGACTTCACCGAAGAACGTCTTGTCACTGGTAAGCCTAGTTAAGTTTTGTTAGCTATTGTCTTCACCACAGAACGTCTTATCACCGGTAAAATTTATTACGTTTTGTTAGCCACTGTTTTCTGTAATTGGTAAACCTATTTTTGTTACCTGGTTTAGATACGATTTTCATCTAGCTTGAATATATGATAAGGTGATCTGCTGTTTAGCTACGGTTTGTAAGTCTAGACGTTTTGTATTCCTTATTTTCATTATAAGTCTTTGTTTTAGTCTTAGTATA